TCACCGTGGCGGGCAGGGGCGCCCTACAGTCCGGATCCCTCACCGTGGCGGGCAGAAGGCACCACACAGCCCAGTCCCTCACCGTAGCGGGCAGGGGTTCCCCACAGTCCGGATCCCTCACCGTTGCGGGGAAAGGGCACCACAGAGCCCGGCCCTTCACCGTGGCGGGCAAGGGTTCACTACAGTCTGGTCCTTCACCGTGGCGGGGAGAGGGCACCACACAACCCGGCCCTTCACCGTGGCGGGCAGGGGCTCCGCGGCACCGGGCCCCTCACCGGAGCGGCGCCGTTCCCGCGCTCAGCCCCACAGCGCGTTAGCAAGATGGCGGCGGGGGGCCGGGACTGAGGGATCCGCGGTGTCCCGGAACCAGGGCAGGACAGTGTCAGGGCTGCGGGCACGTTCTGCTCCTGGAGGCTGGGCTGCTCGTCGGGAACAGGGAAGCACTAATCTGTGCTCCGTGCCGGCTCTGAGGAAGGTAAACRCTGCCCGCAGTTCCGTTTAGGAGCAAGAGCATACTCCGACCGCCAGGTGCTGCGGTGAAAAGTTTCCTGGGCTCAGTTTTCTCAGCAGCTCGGGGCAGTGCTACCATCCCCGGCAGTACTGACTCTCATGGGAGTTGTGCTGGCCGGGCGAGGCCACTCTCCCGCAGAATAGCCATCCTTGCAGGCAYCTGTATCCCCACGGCCTTGGGAAGGTAAAAACTCGTGTCCAAGTCACTTCACGTCCTGGCTTACAACCATCCCCTCATTCCCCGTTCATGCCTGTGAGAAATTTGCAGGCGGCTCCAGACAATGGGCTGAGGAGTGAGGCATTCTGAGACACCCAACACAGAGAGAAATTTGACTCTCAGAAATAAATGTGTATTTTTAAAATACCTCCTTACCTCCTTAAGGACAATGGATGGCAAAGAACAAAGCTCTGCAGATGTGAAAACACCCCATATTATACAGCAGCAATATGAAATCTAAGGCTATCTGGAGCTCGGATAAAATGTATGTGTATGATTTGTCTTGAAACCTGAGAACTGGATGTGTTCTTCATTGGTGAAGAAATCCTTCCTATGTTCAGAGGCCAAATTTCTCAARGTATGTCTTGGGAGACTAGAAATTGGACCTTACTCTTTCGTTATCTGTCATTCTCTTAGTTTACTCAAGGTAAAGGAATGATAAAACTATCAAGTTGTCTTGTTTTGTATGAGTTACGTGTTTTCTCTGTTCTGTACATACCAATACACATATGTATTGGTTGCTTATGGTCAGGCAGATTTGCTGACCTTTGCCAGTGAAAATTCCTAATTTATTTCTTTCTTCTGGCCTTTCTCACTTCCCTTTTCYTGATCACCTAATCTCCTACCACCATGTCTAATGCTAAGCTGGCTTTGCAGTAGCAATGACTTCTACTCATAATTATTAAACACAAACCTATATTGATTGAAATTATTTCTACTGCTACTTTATGGAGTCTAAAATCTATTAAATGAGTTAGATGAGATAGCTGTTCTGATCAATCACCGTTAACAGTAATAATTAGTGCCTATGCATAGAAATCTGTGTAASTCACCAGGTAAGTGCCTCCAGGCTGGTAGTAGCTGATCACTAACAGTAGCARATTTGGGGTGCTCATCCTACATTTCAATTCAGTATCTCCTAGTAGGTAGCCCTGCCTCTTCATGTTGTGTGGAAGTAGTTTGTATATACCAGTGCTGCAGAAGCTGAAGTTTGGGAGGCTATGGTTTAGTAAACACACTTTGTCTGTASTACAAATACAGATATCAACAGTTCGAGCCTGTAAGTAAAGACACCTGGTGTCTGTGCAGTGTGCAGTTTTCAGTTTGAAAGGGAAACATGACTGGTGAAGAATGATATGGTTGTTCAAGTAATTTCTGACACTGATAGAAGTGTTTATCAGTGTATTATCAACTGCGCCATGCCAGCACACGCAACATGAGAAAATTCCAGTCCAAGGGTGCTCTTCAACAGAACCAGAATTTTAAACTAGTTTCCTATTTTCAGTATTCCCAGGAGCCAGCTGAGATCTCAGTCTATTCATRATTCCTTGGTGGGTTTTGATTTTTCAGTGTCTTATGTACACGAACACATCTAAACTGAGTAAAAGTCCCAAGGGAATATCTGTGCTCAAATAGTTTTGTAAACCCAGAACAGGGATCTCTCTGACTCTTAATACTCCTCAGACATGCCAATATGCTTGGAGGACTGATGTTAGGATCCTGCAGGAGCTGGAGGCCAGAAGTTACTAACAGATGGGAAGGTTCCAGCCATCTGTGCATGAGGTAAGAGTTTCTGCTTGGCACCTAGTCTTAAGAAAGGGAGATTAAATAATTTTATTTCCATGTGGCATGCATTGACACTTTTACTACTGACACTTTTACTACTCAGACTGACCCTATATATTGTCCTCTATATATGAAAATAAAAAACTTATGGGAGCATCTTTGTACTGCAGAGAAGCACAAATACTGAAGGATTGCAAAGTGGGGTTATTTYGGGGTCAGTGCATTTTTTTCTCACAATGAAAATTAACAACTAAAACAATGATTTTTTATTAAAATTTTTGGGTATACCATTCCATTAACTACTTGGAAGAATAAGTTCCTTAAACTAGCTTCATTTGCTTAATGCAACAACCTGTATCTTAATTAGAATCGCACGGTTAGTGTTTCATCAATTGTATCTGCAGTGGTGTCTTTCCCTTGGAGATAGTGCATTAATCATGGGCAGGATAGCTTGACTAACTTGATTATAAAATTTCTCTTGATGAAAGGTTTAACCTTCTGCATAACTGAAGTTTATGAGTATTTTGTTTAGATCTCTCAAGCGTAGTGTTAATATCTTTTTCATGAAGTCTAATTTAGTTGGCTGACATAAGCTGTGTCAGAGCAAGATACTCATTGTCTTGGCCAGCAACTGAAGCAGAATCTAAAGCAAGAAAAAAATAGAAATTCCTATAGTTAAATTTTTATAGCTTTATAACTGAACTGTYTGAACTTGATTGAAAATCCTCCTAGACAGTAAAGTACAAATGTTGTACCATGTATCACTCCATCCTAGAATATCAAGTCAAAGTCCAAAATCCCTTTTGGCTGAGGTTTGCTACATACTAGGCAATGTTTAGTGTTATAGTGCAGATGCAGTTTATTGCAGAATAAAACCTCACACTTGCTGGAACAGTTTTTGCCACATATCTGAGTGAAATAAACTATCTTAGCAAAAAAATTTCATCACTCCAATATTGGCAATACTGGAATTTTTAGTAGCATAGAAATTTAGCAYCAAAAGAAATTCTACTAGGCTAGTAAAAGCCTCTGTGGCGAAATTGGCCCATACTGGGATATAACCAAAAAGCTCAACCTTGCCTTTCTAATTACAGCACACAGAAGTAACCGCCCTTATGRTATCCACCCTCTTTAGGAGAGAAATTGAGAGGCCAAAGTCATTTGGCACCTGTTGCAGGCTGAGGCAAACAGAGTTTCAAATCATGTTGGATATTAAGTTACCCAGTGAAAGAGATTACACAACTGGTCATATATATATCTATATATGTATATATACATACATATACACACACATGTACATAATGCTTCACAGTAATGTTTAATCAAGGTATGAAGTTGATTTATGTACAAAATCTATATATAATAGATATATAATACTTAATTAAACTACTGTAAATGTTATATTTACCATTAAAAWTCCAAATCTCTTACATGATAAAGAGGTTTACAATTTTGGGGACTGTAGTTAAGGAACTTATGAGCTACAGTTTATGCTCATAAGTGCATTTTGTTTTGTTTTATGTGAAATACTCTCTGATGMCTCGCTGGCATATTTTAACTTACACTTAGGGAACAAAACTGGGGAAGACAACAAACTCAACTCTAACAGAGAATTTGCTCTCTGTTACACCAGTGATGGGCCAGCCCCAGCCCCAACACTAAACTCTCCAGTGCCTGTATTTTCATACAGGTAAACCTTCCTAGCTCTGAAGAGCAGGTGGCTGTGTCAGAATTGCTGTTGAAAGTCTTACCAGGCCCATGCTAATCCCTGAAGATGCTTGGGCACTATCTGGGAGAATGCTATTCAGCAGAACTCGGGTAGTAACCTTGCTAGTGATTTAATGCTTATTAAAGTACAGTGATGTCCACCATATGTTGTAGTTTACTAGAACACATCTAGTCTTAGACAGCACCTGATTTTGAGATTTCACCTTCTATCTCAGAGGAAATGAAAGTTTTTACATTTATTTCCAAATCGGTAAAGCTTGGCAGTGTTATTGGGAGCAAGAACTACTGTTAGGTGACGCTGTTACAGCCAGTGTCTGATAATGTATTGTTATTGCATAGCATTTTGCAAATTTGCTATCATTAAAATTTACTTAGGAAGTTCAGTTACAGTGTTTAAAAGGCAGCATCAGATCCAGATTCCTTTATGAGTGGCACTGTTCAGAAAGAAAACTTGCCCATTTGCAATTGAATTTGTAATTGAGCACAAGGGAGGGTAACATGTTTAGTAAACAGGAAAAAAAACCCTATTCTGGATTTACAAAGGAAAAAAAAAAMAKAATATGAGGAATAGCTCCYAACACAGGTTGATATGAATGTCTTGACTTCCAATTGTGATTTAGAAATTATAGAACRTTGTGCTCTTTTCATTACAGGCAAGATGATAAACTGTTTCTTTGTGTCTAAATACACTGTCCCTGTATCTTTTTAGATACTAAAATGGATTGAATTTGTGAATTATCCTTTGTTTAAGGGAGTGTTTCTCATGC